TAAATATGAATTTAGATGGGCTGTATATTTATAAGTAATGGATAGTGACTCTAATTGAGGAATTATAGAGCCGAGTTCGAAATCCATTACATTCACCTACATGCTAATACCCTTGGGAAAGATATAAATTCTCTCCTTCTCCCCCAGCTATGGGTAAATAGCATGACAGACCAAGTTCTACAGCCTTGGATGGCAACTGGTCTACGGCAGAAAGGAGTGGCAACCTACTGTGGGAAAAAAATCTGCCTCGTCAGTCATTTATCAAAATATCGTGCATGGCACATAATTGACTGATATTTTATTTTTGAAAGATTTATTTTTAATAAAGGGAATAATGTTGTGCTGGGAGAATTGAAAATACGGCTAAATTTTTAATGATTTCAACAACAAACTCTTTCCACTAAATTTAAATTCATTTTTGAAATACCGAAAATTTTTTTGCTTATTGGAAATATTAAATTTAATCTATTAGCTTGAAATTAAAACTAAAATAAAAACTACAAGAAAGATTTTCATTTTTAAAAATTAATTTTAAACCTTGGGTATCACTTTTCTTTGGAAGTATCTATAATGATACTACTACTACCTCTAGTAATAGCAATACTAATAACACTAATAGCTACAAAAAGTGAATTCAGGTAAAAATGGTTCAAGTGAAACAAGAAAAAAAAATAGGACAACTAATTACTATGTGAAAAATCCATTAATCTTTGAAGTAGTAAAAATCCAATAATTATGGGCGTTTATTGGAGTTTCTGAAAATTATTCAGTAATAAATAAAATTCTTTTAAAGGATTTTTTTTATAGAAATATTTTTAAATGTGTCATTGAATTAATGTATACACGCACACACACACACACACACACACACACACACTGTATGACATTCTAAATTAACATCTGTGTTTAATTTAATCTCTGGATCACAGGAAGTAAGTGTGGCTCTTTAAAGTCGTTTTTATGACACTTCAGTATTTATATTGAATATATTTTCTAGTATAATACAATCTTGATTGATCATCTTACTGAGATGGAAGTAAGTACTAATCAAAAATTAATAATTATGGCTGACAATGTTTCCTCTAATAAAAATGAAGATGTAAGCAAATACTAGTCCAAAATTAATAATTGCTGACAATAATTAATCTAATAAAAAATGAATTTGAACGAAAATACAAGTCAAAAATTAATAATAATGGCTGAAAATATTTCAACTAATAAAAAAATGAAAATGAAAGTAAATACTAGTGTAACACCTTCATCGTGGTCAGCTCAGGGTGAATCCTGGTTTGATTAATGGAGTGATCTCTTCAATCCTGACCTACCCTACCCCACATTGTGATTAATTGATTATAAGGATCAATTTTGTCACAGGTATCTTCATGTTAGGCTGGTCCATGTTGAGCAAAGTCGTACAGTAAAATAGGAAAAAAAAACAGCCCTCAAAATATATAAAAATATTTTTACTATTTCTATATCGTATACTGCGTATAATGGTTTGTGTGTGTGATGCGGCATTCACCCTGGGCGGATTGAGCCGGCTTCTTCCTGTTGTGAGAAGAAGATTCTTGGGATAAATTACAGAAGTAGGGTACCCAGGCCTACTATAATGGTTTGGTAGTAATTGTTGGGGTCTAGGTGTTTAGCATACAGGAGTTTGTTGACCTAACCCATTCCTAAATCAGATGCAACATTTGGGTAAGCTGGTAAGCATTGGCTTGCAGAGTCAGCAAAATTTGTTTTACTGAATTTGGTAAGTTTGGCTCAAGACTGAAGTCGGAGTTTCTTGTGTTTGGCAAGAATTGTGGACTCTCTTAGCAACCTCTGCCACTTCGCTTCTGTCTCTTCTCAGCTCTCAACTGTCAACTGTCTGAATTCGCTTTCGCGCATTCGTATTTATGGACTCCAACTAGAAACTGGTGCGGGGAAAGATGTAGGCTGGGTTTCGGTGAATCCCCAGATTTCCAACAAGAGTCCATTGTTGTCTCCCAAAATAAAACTGGTGTAGGGGCAAGATGTAGTTGTGGGGAATTGATATTTCATCCACCTGTCATTTCCATTGTTTTTTGGTTCTGAGAAATTAAATTACTTCATAATTTTGGGGAATACCCCTTCTCTCATGGGAGACGTGTGCAGGCATCACTCTGCCTGCTTACTTCTACTTTCTCTTATTACCATCTCCCACCAGTGCTCTCTAGTAGGCATGGGGAGCTCCTTCAATTTCCTTAATGTCCTGTCTATGCCTGCTACCATTCAGTGGGTGCAGGCAGCCCCTCCTCCTTCCTTGATCGCTCTTCTGTGCCTGTTACCTCCACCATTCGGTTGAAGACTAATTAAAAGAAAAAATTATTGTTCCAAATGCTATCATTTCATTAGTGAATTGACACAACAATTGACTTTCTCACCTTTGACCCAAGAGACACTTTCCCAGGGAAAATTTTGCAACTCACATTATGGTGACAATTCATTCAGCTGAAGGTCAACACATCTGCAGGTGTTCAGCTTATTGTTTTCAATACTGACATCTCTGCAAAAAGACTTTATTTGTAACTGGCATTTAACCCAATACCTCTCATGTTGATTTCACAGGCGTTGTTTGTCAAATACTGTCAACACTTGGCCCATTGTACAAACCAAGAATTGCTCTCAGCCAGTCACCTGGTTCATTTTACAAACCTTGATTCTCTGGGAATCAATTGTTATCAGTCTATATTCATTTAGCTCTTTCCATGGTAGTTTATTCATCAATATCTCATTTTCGTTGATATTCCAAGTCTTTAATATTATTAATTCCAGCAACCCAAATAGTGTTATACTAGTCATAGATAAATAATCATGGCTGACAATACTTCATCTAATAAAAAATGAACATGAAAGGAAATAATAGTAAAAAATTAATAATAATGGCTGACAATGCTTCATCTAATAAAAAATGAAGATGAAAGTAAATACCAGTCAAAAATTATGAATAATGGATGACAATGCTTCATCTAAAAAATGAATTTGAAAATATATCCTTATCAAAAATTAATAATGGCTGACAATGCTTCATCTAAAAAAATGAATTTGAAAATATATTCTCTTGAAAAATTAATAATAATGGCTGACAATGCTTCATCTAAAAAAATGAATTTGAAAATATATTCTCTTGAAAAATTAATAATAATGGCTGACAATGATTCATCTAATAAAAAATGAAGTTGAAAGTAAATACTAGTCAACAATTTATTATAATGGTTGACATTATTTTATCTTGTTGGTTTCTACTAATTTTCTCACTTGTGTTTTTTTTTTTTCTTTCATAACTTTTCAGCCATGTTCTCAACTGTCCAAACCTTCATTGGATATCTGTTATCTTCTGAAATAATTTAAATCATAGCTAAAGCATCTACATTATTTAATTATTCTTATTGTAAAGCTGGTTGTTAAATATTCAATTTCCACTGGTTCTTATTTTTCTGAAAAATTTATTCAATATAATTTCATTTTCATTTCTCTCCAATAATGCTGCAAGAGGTTACTGAGAGTAAAAAAAAAAATGAGAAAACGTTAGTGAAGAGAAAAGAAAATGAAAGAACAGGATTTAAGAAGATAGAAGATGGCAATAGATGTTGCATTTAAACTTTTGAAGATCATAGGAGTCAGGAAAGCAATTTGCCAGAAGAAAGTTCCACAATCAAGAAGTGCAAGAAAAGAAATTATTAGAAACTATTACTTGTGGTTGCATCTAGCTATTTCAACAGTAAAACAATGAGACCTAATTGCCAGTCTAGTACTATGTCTAAATTCCTGAGGTACCAAGGAGTAAATTTTGTTTTGGGGTACAAATTATATGAAGACATGTTCTTGGACTTGCTATTTTTACCTGGGATTATATAATCTATCCACATGTTAAATTATGAAATAAAATATGAACAGTTTTTTGTGTATATGCAACAAGATATAACATATTTATTAAATGATTGATTTTTGATTAAACAAACAATTGCTTACATAACTGATTCATATTATTCACAGAACATGCATATATAATATATACATGTGTGTGTGTGTATATATATATAGAAACTTCAGATGGAGTATATCTGTAAATGGACAATACGTTTTAACTATCTTTGCCTTGATAGAGGATGAAACATGTCATCTAAAATAAGTTTTCCTTTTGTCTTTATTCATATATTTATATATAAATACATATATAGAGATTTGTATGTATTAATGCAAAAAAAAAGAAATGGTTTTAGGCTCATCTGTATGAAGAGTTATCTCTCTTGTGAGCTCATTTAAAACAAAATATTATTTCTGGTCCAACAGTTGGTGGCCAGAGAGAGAATGAGAGATTTTGTATTTTTGCACCAAAACTGTCTTTCTGGTGCATTATGGGAATTCTCTTTACCTTCCTTTACTATAACCTAACAATGTAGGGGATGCAACTCCTGCTTCTTATTTATAAATCACTACATGCTCATTAAGACAATTGCCATGAAAATATTTATGAGAAAGACAAAGGCACATCACAGTGATGAGAAAGTGATTGAAGTTGAGAAGCCAAGTCAGGAACGATAACATGACAGACCTTTGTTTAGGAGCACCAGACCAGATGTGGCAGCAATATTCAATGCATCGATGAATGATAGATTTATAAATTTGCAACATTGATTCTGGTGAGAAAAATTCTCTAGCACTAACCAACCTAGCAATTGATTCGATATAATTGTTCCACTTCATATCAGGAGAAAACATGAGACTGAGAAGGCATATAATATATATATATTCAAGAAAGTTTCACTGTTATTTAGATATTTTTCATTAAATTTATGAAAAAAAAAAATCTATTTTATATGAAAATAACATCTCTTTTTCTTTTTTTTTTTTTTTATTCAAATTTGATTAGAAAAAAAGACCTTTATTTATGTTTTATGCATTATTACATTTTTAAAAAGATTATTACATTTTTATGAGAACCTTTATTTACATTTTATAATCATTTCTCTTTTAAGAATTTTCCCAGAGAATCCAGATCTCTTAACTTCCCTCGGACTTCTGTATATGGAGGTAAGTTGTCAAAAAACTAGTAATGGGGGTGTTTTGTAAGAGTGCATATTTCCAGCTTGCACATGCCTGTTAGCAAAAGGGACGGCCCAAAATGCAAATTACAAATTGGAAATTCCAAAATTAAACAAGTAAAAAAAAATCTAAATATCTGCAAAGTCTTTTAACAGAGGGCAGAAAATATGACACTGAAATCCGAAGGTGCATTGGGATAGTGAAAGATGCCTTCCAAATGGTTGAGTATCCTTTATCTGAAATTCCCATATTCAAAAAAACCTCTAAAATGTAAAAAAGTTTTTCAGATGTTGACATGACTTGCCACAAATGGAACATCTCAGAAAGCACTTGGAAGGTACAGCCATTGATCTCATCTGCACTGGATTTGGCATGTCGGAGATTCTACCCATAATTAATTTAATTTTCTTGTTTTCATTGACTAGAGTTGTGTATTTCTTTATGAAATATATATAGTCATCATCAGTGTGGCTAGACATCTGGTTGTCTCTAGCTAGGATCGAAACCCAGCTGAATTGGCAACAGTTAGAGATTCTACCCCTAAGCTGTTGCCACACGGCAGGGATGAAGGTAAATTTAAGTATATTTATTTTTAGATAAACACACAGTGACTGAGAGAATTCGATTTTCTTTACCAAAGAGTCTTGCATTATTAGCAGTAATAGTCACTGTTTACAAAGTGACAATTCCCCTCCAGAGGGCTCAACTGAAATAAATTTTTCAGAAGCATATATATTGTCATCCACAGACAGGTTGTTTTGCTGTATCACAGTTCATCAGTGTAGCTAGACGTCTGGGTGCCTCTAGCTAGGATCAAAACCTGGCTGATTTGGCATGTCAGAGATTCTACACCTAAGCCTTGGTGCACTGCAGGGATCATACATGCTTATAGTTGGTACTATTGTGGTCACATGATTAAAGTTTGAGTTTGTTCACACCAGTTTTCTTGCTGCTGTTACAGTGTAAACATGTCCGCTATGCTATCAGTGTGCACCAAGGAGGAACAAAGAGCTGTGATTCAATTTCTCTGGTCGAGAGATTTATCAGGTGTTGATATTCATAATATGGCAACAGTGTACTACCGCATATAAGTGTGTATGAGTAGACCAAGAAGTTTAAAAGCAGCCAGACATGGCACACAAAGAAGGAACAGGATGCCCATCAACATCCACTAACTGATGAGAAGATTCAGCAAGCTTGGGAGATGGTAATGGCGAACCGGCAAGTTATCGTCGATGGTGTTCTCTGAAGATTCAAATCACCCCCCTTTGTTCCTCCATGGTGCAAACTAGTAACAAACTTTTACCAAACAATTTTGGTATGTTTTTGAATATTTACTATATAGGTGGGTGATGGAAAATTTTTTCCATGTGAAAACGGAGTGATGACTTCAAAAAGGTCGGCAATCTCTGGTCTAATAAATGCTAATCAACAAAAATTGTTAAAAAAATAAGTCTTCCCTATATTTTACAAGCAGACCTGCTAGTTTCAGTTGTGTCACAATAATCAATATCATTGTTTAATTTTAGATGGGCCACTTTCAGAAAGCTTGTGAGAGTTTAGGGAATGCTATGACCTTTGACCCCACCCATGTAAAGGCAATCGTTGCTGCTGGTAGCATGATGCAAAGACATGGAGATTATGACGTCGCCCTAACCAAGTATCGAATCGCAGCCAACAGTATGCCTGAGAGTGCCACTTTATGGAATAATATTGCAATGTGTTTTTTCGGCAAGAATAAATACATTGCTGTAAGTATGAATATTTTCAAGATATTTTTTTTTTCTTTGAAAAATACTAAAACAAAACTATTTACACCATTTACATTTGGACTATTGTCCTCATTTTTGTTTCTGTTATCACAACATTTTGGCCATTATACCTCCCGGCCAAATCCTCAAATGTATATTGATCTGGGTAACCTACAGGAAATTCTAAACTGAGCCATTTATTTAATCTTCAGGGTTAAACTGTTCTTGTTTTACTGCCCATGTTTAGAGATAACATCTAGCAATTATTTATAGTACAGTTCAGTTATTGCTCACCCACTGAGTCCAAGTACATGCTGCCTGACCCAGGAATTGAACTCACATCCACTTTGTCACCAGATTCACAAAACAATGCTTTAATCCACTTAGCCATAGTCCCCTAGGATAATGGCTGAAATGCTGCAATAAGAACAACAAAGATGAGGACAATAGTCCAAATGTAAATAATGATAACTCCTCATCCCAGAAGTTCAGACAGATGTCAATCAGGTGATAATAACAACAAAGATGAGGACAATAATCCAAATGTAAATAATGATAACTCCTCATCCCAGAAGTTCAGACAATGTCAATCAGGTGATAATAACAAAAAGATGAGGACAATAATCCAAATGTAAATAATGATAACTCCTCATCCCAGAAGTTCAGACAGATGTCAATCAGGTGATAATAACAACAAAGATGAGGACAATAATCCAAATGTAAATAATGATAACTCCTCATCCCAGAAGTTCAGACAGATGTCAATCAGGTGATAATAACAACAAAGATGAGGACAATAATCCAAAAATGTAAATAATGATAACTCCTCATCCCAGAAGTTCAGACAGATGTCAATCAGGTGATAATAACAACAAAGATGAGGACAATAATCCAAATGTAAATAATGATAACTCCTCATCCCAGAAATTCAGACAGATGTCAATCAGGTGATAATAACAACAAAGATGAGGACAATAATCCAATGTAAATAATGAAACTCCTCATCCCAGAAGTTCAGACAGATGTCAATCAGGTGATAATAACAACAAAGATGAGGACAATAATCCAAATGTAAATAAATAACTCCTCATCCCAGAAATTCAGACATGTCAATCAGGTCAATAACAACAAAGATGGTAATCCAAATGTAAATAATGATAACTCCTCATCCCAGAAATTCAACAGATGTCAATCAGGTGATAATAACAACAAGATGAGGACAATAATCCAAATGTAAATAATGATAACTCCTCATCCCAGAAATTCAGACAGATGTCAATCAGGTGATAATAACAACAAAGATGAGGACAATAATCCAAATGTAAATAATGATAACTCCTCATCCCAGAAGTTCAGACAGATGTCAATCAGGTGATAATAACAACAAAGATGAGGACAATAATCCAAATGTAAATAATGATAACTCCTCATCCCAGAAGTTCAGACAGATGTCAATCAGGTGATAATAACAACAAAGATGAGGACAATAATCCAAATGTAAATAATGATAACTCCTCATCCCAGAAATTCAGACAGATGTCAATCAGGTGATAATAACAACAAAGATGAGGACAATAATCCAAATGTAAATAATGATAACTCCTCATCCCAGAAATTCAGACAGATGTCAATCAGGTGATAATAACAACAAAGATGAGGACAATAATCCAAATGTAAATAATGATAACTCCTCATCCCAGAAATTCAGATACATATTACTGAAAGAAACTTTAATCGACTCTACTATTTAAAGAGGTGTGTATGTGTGTGTTGACATTGTTTTTTTTTTTATTGATTTATCAAAGACAAAATTATTGATTAAAAAAAAAATAAGTTGAAAAACTGCACCTATTAGGTTGAGTCATAAATGTATTTGTTTATCGACTTTATTTTTCAAGAAATAATTGTATTTTATTCATTTCTATATTTGCCATTATTTGCTATGAGCTCTTTTTGATACCTCTTCAGTAAAATTCCACAGGTTTTGATTTGAAAATGTTTCACTGAACATTTCAATCTGTTTTTTTTAAAGAAAGCTTTCCCTAACAAAGCATTTGGCAGCAATCAAAAGCGGTAATAATTGGTTTTTGCAAAGTTTGGTGAATACTGCAGGCAGGGTAGAACAGACCAACCGAGATCCCAATTTTTTTCCTATGTTGTTCTTGTTGTATGTAGTCTTGTGTTATCGTTGAGAAAAACATGTTTTTTGGGGTTTTTTTTCCTTTTATCTACTGTGTACTACACTGCCATTGTCATGCAAAAACTAATGTATGCTAGAGTACTCCAAATTTATTCTTAACTGCCTTGTATGATTAGTAGTTAGGATGATACTTTTGTTATTACAATTGGTCCCCAAAAATAGAAATTATTTATGACCTGAACTCATCGATAATTGCTAGAAAATATTGTCCTTTTATCTATCATAATGGTAAAACAAAGTCAAAAACCATCTCGATTTCAAAACCAAATCGACACAACCCAGTGATCACAGACCTGGTACCTTACTTGGTATACCACCTAATTATGGGTCACTATGCTTGTCCCCTTAACACGCAAACGATACTATGGAGACCCATGTAGAAAGGGAAAAGATGGTTTTATCTTGAACTCAAGAATTTCCAACAGATGGTTCCTTTCAAAGTTTGGTCTTCTAAGTAGCCTCCACCTTGACCGAAGGGGAATTAGAAGTAAAGAAGGGGATTAGGGGTCAGGGTAGAACAGACCAACCGAATTCCCAAATTTTTACTGTGTTATTCTTGCGTTGTCATGGAGAAGAACAGGCATTATTTCATTCCTTGTGTACGCTGCTACTGCCGTTCAAAACTAAGGTATGTTAATGTACACAAACTTATTTTTAACTGTCACATATGATTAGTGGTATGTTTGACGAATAACTGTTCACTCCGACATCCAGTGTAAAATATATATGTGTGGGCATAGAGGGCTCTGGTAGTACCCTTGATGTCTGGCACACTGCACTTTCGGGTGGATGGACATCACTGGTCCTCAACTATCTCCGAGATCTCTCACTTGATGGCTCCAAGTTTCCATGCCCCAGTAAACCGCTTCAGCTGGCAGGCTAAACTCAGGAGAGTGGGTAGTGTTAACATGGCACCACTAGGTAAGGACCTCCTCAACGCGTGCCACCGGCAAGGATGAAAGGCTTCCTCAGATGAACTACAACAGCCATATGTTCATGACCAAGGCGAGCAAACTAGCTGGAGGATATCAGCTGTGATCTAAGTTGGGGAGGGATGGGATCCGCCAGGTTGAAACGCCCAAAACATGCCACATAATGAACACACAAAAAAAACATTTTTTGTAGCATACCTATGGATGATAATGGGTATGTTCTCATTCACATAAATACAGTAAATACTGTATGTTGGTCTGCAGTTGGAGATTCGTCTCCAGCTGTGCTGGTCAAACTCTCTGCCTCTGGGCAAAGACGATTCCCAGACGAGGCTATGTCGAAGAGAAGAGTCGCATCTCGGGGAAACAGCTACCCGACGCTGTTTTATATAGGGTTTATGGGGTATTTTTGGCCAAGCCTACAGGCTCAGGTACCTGACATTAAATTCGGCCTTGTGCCACATCTGACCGTGTGGGGCAGTTGGTAGATATCCTGCTGTTGGAGATTAATTGTCAAATTCACTTGACTCACTTCTAGCAGTTGACTACTACTTCTACACACCACTGGCAAATCTTTTATATGTTGTTCTTGTCCTAAGTATTATCATTCATTACCGACCTTTGTTTGATTATTCTATTCAGTAACCAGTGGAGACTGGTGGAAAGTTCAGCAAATCAGTGCCCCAACGATTCCAAAAGCTAAGCCATGATTATTTGTTAGCATGATGCATTCGTCATTACAGTTGTTTTCCAAAAACAAAAATCGTTTATGACTCAACCTAATATATAATTAAAAAAAAAAAAGAATTCAGTCAAAATATTTCACTTTCAGCTCTGTTCATTTTCTTTTTTCTAATTTGGCCACAATTTTTCTTAAAGAATTCTTTGCTTAAAGAACAGACAAATTCAATAAAAGTTTAATTTGGTTGGAACCTGATTGAAATTTGTTTACAAATAATGGTTAAATATCTAAGTATAGGTTTGGTTTTTGTTTTTATGGCATACTAACAGCATGGCCCGGCATTGCCCGTGCTTGATTCAAAAATCATACAGCAATCGCTATCACTAGACTTAAAATATTTTTGCCCTTCCTTGCCTTTAAAGGAGTGCCCTTTGACGTGCTGATGTTGCTACATGCCTTACTTCTCACACCACAAATTTTTTCTAAACTCTATACTATACATTAAATCTGTTATGAAAAAAGAACTAAACAAAATGAACACAAAATGATCAGCTTTAAAAAAGGACTTGTAACTGAAAAAACCGAATGAAAAAAGAATGTTAACAACAAATACTTTTTCACACCCAACCCAGTTCTGCGGAATCAGAATCAACGTTGAGTTTAAGCAAGCGAATGAGCCAATTGGAATAAAGTGCCATGCAGATTTAAATTTTTCCCCCTTGTGATGAATGCAGCTATCGATTTTTTGCATGCTAGTTAACATTCATGTCAGTCAGCTGTTGACTCTCACACTGTCCAATAGAATCTCCCTGCCTATTCGTAAAACCTTTGGGTCTTGGCAAAGACCATGCTTCTTCAAACCCTGTGGATTGGCACTACAGAAAAAAAGAACTGTACCAAATAACAGGAACCATATCACTTGAGGACTTTCAACAGTGGCAACAACTAAAATGAGTAACACATGTAACTCTAAGAGAAAATAATGGTATAATAAATACATTCCACACTACTTCAAGTAAACAATTAGAAAGGAAACCCCCCCCCCTCAATACTGCAAAATAATGATAACAGCGACTGGGCTTGAGAAACTGATTTTCTTGAAAACTTGTTTCATAGATTTCATCTGACAGTAATACTGGCTACTCAATCAAGGAATTCTAAATGTTTCCTTATAAGGAAACAGTTATTACTACCATTACTATATAGCAATGACTGTAGGACAATATCCTCACAAATTTAGGGCCAACAGAAATCTGGTTCTACAGAAGGATACTGAGAATATCATTGACAGAGCATGTAAGCAATGAGGAAGTTTTAAGGAAAATGGAAACAAAATGTACATACTTAGAATCAGAAAGAGACTGTTAGAATTTCTGGGACGCACATTAAGGAAAGAAGGCTTGGAAAATTGAACACTTACAGGACATTGAAGACAAAAGAGAGGGAAACAGAAAGTAATCTACTTAATGTGTAAATGGTGACAGAACAGAGTGTGGAAGACAAACACTACTAAGAACTATGAAAGCTGGAAAGTTGTGGAGAGCCATGATCGCCAATGACCTGAAGGTTCACAGTACATACATGAAGAATTACTACAGGTTTTTTTCATTATTTTAAAACATAATTAATGTCAATTTTTTTTTTTTCCAGATTTTATAGGGGTCATGATAGGTTAACTGAACTAGAGTAGGGTCATCACCACATATTTACTTGAATGGCACAAGGCCAATTTTAAAGTGGGAGAGGCCACTAGACTAGCCTATATGATTTCACACTTTGTTAGAAACAAAGAAAAGAGTGCTGGCTTGCTATGTGATATCCATCCTCTTATATGGCTGTAAATGTTGAACAACGTCCCAACAGATGAAGAGAAAACTAGAGGCAGCAGCAATGTGGTTCTACAGAAGGATACTGAGAATTCCATCGATGGAACAAGTAACCAACAAGGAAGTCTTAAAGAAAATGACAACAGAAAGAACACTTCTACTCAGGAAAAGACAGCTTGATTTCATTGGGTGCATAATGAGGACAGAGGGCTTGGAAAACTTAACCCTTACAGGGCATATTGAGGGTAAGAGCGATAGGGGAAGGCAGCAAGCCACTTACCTGACAAGCTTTTGGGAATAGATGGCAAAACAGGGTTGGGGGTCTTACCAAAGAGAGAAAAGCTGCTAAGAGCCACACAAAGTAGGAAGTTGTAGAGAGCTATGATCGCCTATGTCCTGTAGGGATGCACCACATAGAACTAGTGTAATTAGATTGGTGTATATTAATGATAAATTTCTTCTCCAGAGATTTTTTTTTTTTTTTAAATTTCCTTTATATTAAATTTCTTTTATGCACATCCAATAACAAAAAAGACTTCTCTCTCACTCACAGATAATCAGCTTCAAAAAGGTAACTGCAGGTAACTAAAATGTGACACTTGTACGTGAAGCTCGCCTGACCACTAAACACAATTTTCATATCTTGTAGGCCATTTGTTGTTTAAAACGAGCAAACTACCTGTCTCCATTTGACACCAAAGTGTTATACAACCTGGGACTGGTTCACTTACATATGCAGCAGTATGCATCTGCATTTCATTTTCTCAGCTCCATGTTAAGCTACAAGCCAAAAGATCCTCAGGTGTTTATGATGCTGGCAAGTAAGTAAATCTTCTCTTTATTGTCTTCATAGCAAAAACGTTACCCTGTCAAACTATTTTTTTATTAAATAAATACTATACTATTTTTCGCCCAATTGAAGAGCCACTCAAGGTAGATGGATACTGAATAAAAATGTTGTAAAGATATAAGAAAAGGGAGTAAGAAAAACATATTATGATGATATATAGGATAGATAACAGTTGAACCTAAACTTGAAGATCATAAGATTGTAGTGACTGGAGAAATAGCTTCTTGGGAGTCCATTCCAAAATGTAGCTGTTCTTGAGGAAGAAGCTGTTTCTTGTAGAACTTCCAATAGAATATGAAGGGAAATGGGGATGAGTCAACTCTGTGGATGTCGCAATGCAGGTTCTAGCTGTGGAACTAAGGAATGTAACTCATCTGAATATTTCCCATGGAAATAGCAATACAGTGGCAATAGGTTTACAATGTTTTGTCGGTAAGGAACTATAGTAGGTGTTGTCAATAATTCACCAAAAAACATCACAGCATGATAAAAAAAAAGGCCTCAAACTTAATAAAAGCAAAGTTTTGTTGTCAAAATGTTTGTTATTCTTAAGAGGAAAGACCAAAGTATTTTTTTTTTAATTTTTAATCCTTTGTAGCATGTTTGAAATTTTGGTTAAAAATCTTGTTTTTTTTTTGTGGAGTAATGGATAGCAGCTCGGATTGAGGAATCTGAGAGACGAGTTCAAGTTCCAGTCAAATCCATTCCATTCACTTATGTGCTAATAACATTGGGAAAGGTATGAATCCTCTTCTTCTCCCCCCAGCTATGGGTAAATATCAGGACAGAGCAGGTTCTGTAACCTTGGGTGGCAACTGGTCTACCACAGAAAGAAATGGCAACTTACTGCAGGAAAGAATCTAATTTGCCAGTCATGTATCGAAAGATACATGATCGCCTAAGCGTGTATCACGTATGGCTCATAACTGACTGAGTCATGTAATATTTACCATTAGTTTTGTATACTGTCTTTTTTCAGTTAAAAAACACATTACTCTGGAAATTCTTGCAAAAATCAAATAATTGTCAGATTTAATGAAACTTTCAGAGCTTATTCACAAATGAATGAAATTATTTTAGAAATGTTTGTTTTTTAGAAAATCATACACACACACATATATATATATATATATATATAATGCCCCATGCCAACAGTACAATTCAGAGTTTCAGGCTTAATGCAATCATCAGATACTAATTTAAGTTTACACTGTTTGGTTGACACTGGTTAATATCTCTGGGTCACATGGGATATGTTGTTGTTTGGATGAAGTATTGCTGTTGTTAAATATTTAATTGCCCTATAATCTAATCTTGAATTTCAATTTAGGCTCAAAATTACATTTAAGATTGAAATAAGAATCTGAAAAAATTCTAACTTTAATTTTCCAATTTTAATTTTCCAATTTTCATTAAAAATGGAATCTGTTATGAAAATGCATTTAAGAATCAAGGGGAGTAACTCTTTTTTTCTTTTTGTTTTTTTCTTCAAAAATAATAATAAAATTAGTGAAAATTTGTAGTGGTAAAATGAAAATAAAATTAAAATTAATAATAGTATAAAGACATAAAATAATAATAATGATCATAATAATAATAATAATAATAAAGATCAATAATTGTAAGACCAAGAATAAAATAAGAATAAAAATAATAACTGTAATAATGGTTATATAATAAAAATAGTAGAAATAAAAGATAATAATAATGATGATGATGATGATGATAACATCAAACCCAGTATTTGTGATGTTCGAGACTTGGGAAAGGTATGAATCTATCTCTTCTCCCCACCAAGCTATGGCTAAATAGCAGAACAGACCGATAACCTTTGGTGGCAAACAGTCTAAGAGACAGAGAATTCTGAATTCAAAACCTGTGGAGAGTCGTTTGGGCACTTTGTGGCATACTGTGCATCAGTTCCCTGTATTCAGCTCTTCCAAAAAGTGTGGTCGGTTCAGCACAAAGCCTTCACCACTATAATCAAAAATGAAATGTGTGGGTAGTCTGGTCCTAAGAACTCAGATGCTCGAAAATGACAGGGGAGTCCAGTATATATGTATTTTACTGTTCTATGTGCCATGTTCCTTCAGGGCGTTGGTGATCATGGTTCTCCACAATTTCCTGTCCTTTGTAGTTCTTAATAACTTTAATCATTTGGCTATTGTTCCCAAACCCTTCTTCGCATTCCATTCACTCAAGTTCACCAGAATGGTTATACCTTGTTTTCCTCTGTCCCTCTTGCCTTTAATTTGTTCTATGAGTATCTGATTTTCCAAGCCCTCTTTTCTCATTATGAGCCCTAGAAAATTCAACTATCTCTTCCTGATCTCTTCTGTATAAGTGTCCTTTTTGGTTCCATTTTCTCTAAAATTTTGGTGTTGCCCACATTGTCCATGGTATTCTCAGCATCCTTCTGTAGAACTACATTTCTGTTGCTTCAAGTCTCTTCAAAAAGGAGATTGTCCAGCATTCACTGCCATATAGGAGGACTGATATTACATAACAGTTCAGTACTCTTTTCTTTGTTTCTCTTACTTCAAGTCACTTCTTCATCTGTGAGGAGATTGTCCAGCATTCAATGCCATATAGGAGGACTGATATTACATAACAGTTCAGTACACTTTTCATTGTTTCTGTTGCTTCAAGTCTCTTCTTCATCCATGAGGAGATTGTCCAGTATTCCCTTCAATATAGGAGGACTGATATTACATAACAGTTCAGTACTTTGTTTCTAACAAAATGTTTGCTTCCAATATGAGGTCTAAGAATCCCTCAAGATAAAGAGTTACTAAGTGAGATTGTTGTAAAGTAGAGGAAAGGAAGTAATCAATGTATATTATGAGGGCAAGTAGGATAGATATCAGTTGACCTTGAATTTCAAGTAACCAAGATAAGGCTGTCAGGAAAGCATCCTCTCGTGAGTCTGTTCCACAAACCAACAGCTCTGGGCAAGAATCTGTATGAATGAAACTAAAATGTTGTATTATATGTCATTATATATAGAATACATTTTTGAAAAAAAAAAAAAAAAAATGAAAGCAGGCACAAATTTATAAATTTAACAAATTGTTTAATGTATTTGTTCATATTTTTTTTTCCTCCCTAGTCTGTTTGACGTACCTCGATGATCCTGATAATGCAAGAAAAGCTTATGAACAGTCTCTTTTACTTGATCAGTAAGTGATTTATGTGACCAATTTTCTTTTTCTTTTCTATCTGCTCTCTATTTTTTATGGCCTCTTAAAAAAAAAAAAAAAAAAAAAAAAACTCGTTGCATCAATCTCTTTGTTCATTCATACCATCAATACATATGTTTTTTGATTAATAGGTTTTATGACCTTTTAACTCATTCAATTTTAAAGTTTTTTTTTTTTTTTGTTTTTTTTGTTGTTGTTTTTTGTTTTTTTTTTATAACCCATAACTAAAATCAGGCTTCAGACTGATTATATGGGAACGAGAAAGGCAAAGGTGACTCTACATAGGGTACCACTCTACATATCTGAAGACTATATTGGGTTTTTCTTTTCTAAATACGGGGACGTCTCCGATGTCTGCCCTATTAAAAGTAAGACCGGAATTGCCACAGGAGATATTGAAATCTCAATTACATTAAATCAAAAGCAATTTAAGGAAATACCCAACACATGTGGGTAGACTTATCTACGTCGTTGTGGAAGTTCATCGGCCACTTTGTTGGGCTTGTGGGACTGCGGGGCATTTGTCGAAGGCTTGCTCAGGACAAAATCCCACACCACAACCCAAAAAGAAAAACGAAGCAGCAACCTCACAGGCAACAGCACAGACAATCCAGAAAACTGGAGAGTGGACGGAAGTCGTCAAGAAGAGAACCAAAAGTACCGCCACTTCCCTTCAGCAGCGAAATGAGGGTCCCCAGCCAGAGCCAGAGGACCAGCAAGAAAGGGAATTAGAAATGCAGGAGATGTCCCCACCTCGGTCATCTTCACTGAAAAGAGGGAGAGAAGAAACAGAAGAAAAGGGGGAAAAATTTAGTTTTAACTAACTTTGCTGAAAAAGATTGATTTTGATTGTATAGTGATAACTGAATGAAACTTGTTTAAGAAAAAAAAAAAAAAATCTCCCCCGTCTATTTGATAATCAAAGATGTATGAAGTTTGCTTCACTCCTTTACAGTGACCCAAACTCACTTTACTACTAAAGTAGCAGAAAAATCAGTAATTTTTAAAGCAGTCTACTAGATTGGCCAGGAGTGAAATTGATTTGCATGTTCTTTAAAGCAATCTATTCATAAAAATGCTATGTTTTATTATGCTGTGATTGTCTTGGAGTGAAATGAATTTACATGTCCACTAACTACTTCAATAGAAGAGTTTTACTTTTTGGTTTTTGTTTCATGTGAGTGAGATGAGAGTGCTTTGACCATAGATGCTTTGAGAAAATGAAATAAAACCAATAAATAAAATAATTAAAAAAATAAAAGGAAGAAAAAAACATTTTCCCATGATGCTTATAATAACTGAACCAGAAATCTTATTACCCCACTTGGCTTCCTCAAACATTCATCAAGTGGCGCTGTTTAAGTTTTATAAAAAGACAAAAATCTCCTTCGTCTTTCTCCTTCTTCCCCCTTGCCCAAGATGTAGTTGCGCGTAGACAAGGATGTCTCCACTGGAGAACATTCGTTTCCCTGTTCCATTTAATACTGGACTATCTCTCCACTTACCAATGCATAGCATTTAGATATATCTTCCAAAACATCCACCGATGAAGTAAATCATCCTGTTCTTTGGTTGTTCCAACTCTGTACAAGGCTGACTTCAGCTCAACCATTCATGACAACCTTCCAACTATGAAATAATTGCAAACTTTTCTTTGGTCGCTTCAACTCTGCACAAGACTGACTTGAACTCAACCATTACAACAATGCTTGTACTTATTTACCAAAACTTCTGGAACCAAGAAAGAAAACAGACATACCCAAGAGATATTGAGAGGTTTGTTTCACTACAGTTTATATAAAAAAGAAAGAATAAATAGTCCACAGTAGAAAGAAATACTAGTTTTTGTATGCATCTTATTGTTTACATGTGAACATGCACCCCCACTCCTACCACTGTAAACAAAATAGACATTGTGATATTGCCTTTCTTTTGTATGGACAAATGAAAAATCAAGTAGATTGCCTTTTTATCGATCTTTTATAATAAAATTTTTAATTTTCTGCTCTTTTCTTTTCTTTCCTGCTGCAGAAACGATCCAACTGTGTATCTGAATTATGCCGTTTTCTTGTATAATCAAAATCATCGACAGGAAGCTGTCAAAACGTTTACTTTGTTTGAACAGAAAAAGACAACCTTCATTAACAAAGGTGGCGTTATTGACCAAGAGGTAAATAGCAAAGAAACATCTTTTTTTTTTTTTTTTCTTTTTTTTTAATCATATCACCCCATGCATGGCAATAAAGCCACTAAGGCACAAGAGGTTACTGAGTGTGGAACAATAAGAACAAAAAAGGGAGACACTAGGGAGTGAGAATAATAGAAAACTAATCAAGAGGGTAGATACCAATTGACATTGGATTTAAATTTTTGAAGGTCAAAGTTGGCTGGCTGCATGAAGTCAGAGTTCAACAAACAAGAAATGCAAAAATGAAAACATTTAGCATAGAACTTATGGTTCCATCTCACCAATTCAACTGTTTATTGGTGAGACTTTGCCGCCAATCTAGTACTGCACTTAAATTCATAAAGTCTAGGTACCATATTGAAGTGTTCATCCAAACAATTACCATGAAAGTATTTATAGAAAAGGTTCAACTTTACGATGGTGAGAAAGTGACTGAAGGCGAGATGCCAGGTCCGAACCAATAATATTGCTGAATTAGGAGCACCAGACCATATGTGGCAGCAATAATCATAGCATGGATGGATGAATGGTAGACTTATAGATATACAAGATAGATTTGCTCAACACAGTGAACCTACTTTCTTAGCAGCAGATATAAAACATCTTCTCACAACAGTAGGATGAGACTCAAGGTCGGAATCCCTAGGATCAGTTTTTCCTCATAGCTGAACAAGGAGAACAGGTACTACACATAGTATCCTCCCACAGTGATGGGATTTGGCACAAGGCCAGTTTAAAGTGGTGAGTCCCAAGCATATGGACATGGTCCAAGACCAAAAATTGCACAGTCCCAGCAACCAATATCACACTGAAGTTAATAGTGTAGAAGAATTAGAAAACAGAAACATTATTGAGGGAGTAAGGCTAATCAAGAGAGTAAATAGCGATTGACAGTGCATTTAAATTTTTGAAAATTGGACGGAAAGCATGAAGCCAGAAAAGAATTCCACAAGTGAGAAATACGAGAAAAAAACTGTTCACAGTTCCATTTCACCAACTCAACTGTGAACCTTGCTGCCAATCTAGTACTGTGCTTAAATTCCTAAAGTCTTGGTACCATAGAGAAAAGTTCATCAGAACAATTACCATAAATGTATTTATAGAAAAAGCACAGTGAAGCTACATTATAGTGGTGGGAAAGTGACTGAAGCCAAGACGTCAGGTCAAGACCAATCATATTGCAGATTCTTCTTTGGATTTTATCAAAAATCTCTAAATATATAGCAGGACCACCAGACCATATATGGCAGCAATATTCAAAGCATGGACGAATGGTAGACTTATAAATATGTAAGATGAATTCTGGCAAGAAAAATTGTCTAGCACAACACAGTGAACCAACTTTCTTGATAGTGGATCTAGCAATTGATTCAATATAATCTTTTCACTTTATATCAGCAGAAAACATTAGCTCAAGCCAGTGCAATAAGTCACTCTCCAGTGAATAAATCTAAACAAAAAAAACATTTGACATTGCATTTAAATTTTCAAAGATCAAAGTTGACTGGAAAGCAAAACGCTGGAAAAGATTTCCACAAGCAAGAAGTGTGAGAGAATAAACTGTTAGCATAGAACTTATGGTTACATGTAGCCATTTCACCTGTAAAATGATGAGACCTTGCTGCCAATCGCATACTGCACTTAAATTCATAAAGTCTAGGTACAACGGAGGAATGTTCATCTGAACAATTACGATGAAAGTATTTATAGAAAAAGCACATTACAGCAGTGGGAAAGGGACTGAACATGAGATGCCAGGTCAGGACCAATAACATTGCTGATTCTTCTTTGGATTTTATCAAGAATCTCTAAATATAGAGCAGGAACACCAGACCAGGTATGACAGCAATATTTAATGCATATGACAAATGGTGGACTTATAAATATGTAAGATAGATTCAGGAGAGGAAAATTGTCTAGCACAACACAGTCAACCAACTTTCTTAGCAGCAGACCTAGCAATGGATTCAATATAATCTTTCCCCTTCATGTTAGCCGAAGAAGGGACAACAAGTCACTCTCCTGGAGGTTAGCATCAGTCCTTCTGCTGGGAGACAGGAAGGAGTCTTTCGTTTTGGTGGCATTAAAATTAACAAGCCACTCATTGCCCCAGTTAACAACAAACTGTAGGTCATTTTTTTAGACCACCTGCCAATTTCACAAACTTATTGAGACAGGAATAAATATATATACGAGGTTGATCAAAAAGTATCAGGACTGTTGCAATGGTAACAGAGCTAAAGTATACAGAATGAAGCCACTTGACACAGATTCAACTTTACTCCTAGAGGCCCAACATATCATACGATTTTGGAATCAGGCCAACGCCATGAGCAAATTAAAAACATTCTGGGCTGGATCTGGACTCGCAATCCTGAAATTTTGGATTCCCAAGTTTTCATTATTGCAATTGTTTTCAGCTCCCGCCATCTTAGCTTCTACAGATAAAAACAATTAAAGGGACACAACTCTGTAACTTTCAATAGCTCGTGTTCAAAATTACTGTTCTCAAATTACAGTGTTTCAAAATAAAATTGTCCCTGTTTCCAACTTTACTCTTAGAGGCTGTAGCCTGTCGGAGTTAACTCCTCCTTTAGTTCGTTAACCCTTTCACCAGGGGTCTCTCTTCCCTGGCTATAAATAGCCGCTGACCCTTCGCCTCTATCTCTTTTTCCTTCAGGCCTGTGTACCGGCACCTTGAGGTAAATCGCTCTTTTTCCTTCAGGATTTCAGCTATCAACCTCGAAATGTAGGCGCTAACAAGGAAACATGCTAAGCACAATACACACACACACACACATGCACATACAGAATATTCACACACACTTCATCCTTTGTACTGTTTCCATGTATTGTAACTTGTTATTAATATATATTTGTATATACATATATTATCAGTCTTGTGTTTTGTTTGCTTTTCTTTGCCTTCTTCTTTGGACTTAATCAAAGTCCAACCTTTTTATGTAGTTGGGCTCGGCGGGCATGAGTATCTGAACCTTACTTGTGTTTCCCCTACGTCTGACTTCTATCAACAACATAACAGCCACGGCCCTCTACAAGCCCAACATATATTATTTTGGAATCAGGCCAACTCTGTGAGCAAATTAAAACATTCCGGGTTGGATCCAGACCCACAATTTTAGATTTCCAAGTTTTCATAACTGCAATTGTTTTCAGCGATTATATTTTTTTTACGTGATTTTTTGCAACAAATATTTTGTACAGTAACAATTTTTATAACCTTGAAATTAAATTTGGGAATAATCGAAATTAGTTGCAAAATCCAGTGCAAGTCACTCATGAAATAAAAATAATTGTTTGTACAGAATGTAAGGACCTACATGCATCAAATTGTCTTTAAATTAAGTGGTGGAAGAAGAACTGTCACTGAACTTTTAAAAAGGTAAGCTTAAATATTGATGCAATATTTAAATGCAGCGATCAGTTTTGAGTTCTGTAATTTATTGTTGCCTATCACATCTATTCCTCCCTACCTATTGTGATGAAGGCCCAATCAAGAGCCCTACACAGGAGCTAGCTTACATGCTGCCCAATAGGGCAGCTTTTAAATTAGTTTACAATAATAATTTTCCTACAAGATATCCACTAAATATGATATTTATAATACTGAGAAATAACTATGTGCATTTATTTTTTTTATTTTTTAGCTTATTGAAATGGCTTCCCGTCTTGGCCCTGTTTTGCAAGTGGGTGAGAATTTGGTATGGAAGAAACCAGAAGCAGAGAAGAAAGCCAAACCGCAGACAAATACATATGTCTTCAAGAGTAAATCTGACGGAAAAATAACAAGCAGCAGTAAACTGTCCACGGCTCCCATTGCTACTCCCTCAGACTCTCAGCTCCACTCCAGTATTACAAACAAAACCCCAAATCCAGAACAACTCAACATCCTCAGCCCGAGACATGCAATAAGAAAAGCTGGTAACCTGCCTCCCTTGTTGTCAGGCGCCCAACTCCTTCCTAGTCTCAAATCTAAACCAACAGCAATCACCACAAATAACCCAATGCAAGGAGATGCTGCAAACCTCAAGAAAAAGCCAAACAATGCCGAACTTGTGCAGCTTTGAAAAGATACGAATTGGTTAATATTTGGATTGTAGCAAATCACTTTTTTTAAAAAAGAAAAAGTTGACAAACAACTAATAGCCACTATTTATTTTGGAGACTAAGAACCATTAATTTTCTTCTGACCTTTCTGCTGAACATAATGCGTTTAAGAAAAAAATAATCATGTTTTTGGAATAATTTCCACCATTCTTCAGCTGTGAATAAATGCTGTTTTAGCCAGAGATTGATTGACTTCTTGTCAGAATCCTTGCATTGCAAATACCTCCATCATCCCAAATCCATCCACGTGGGGGTTTAGGAGTTGGAAACACAAAAGCTGAGGGACAAAATATATTTCGACAAGATGCAACCAATCTGGAATATCAAAAACGCTGATCAACAAACAAAACTGGACAAGTTATTTCATGAACCCTTTATTTCTGGCATCTCTACTTCCGGCAGTCGGACGTCACTAACGACTGGACAATCCTTGTCATTCCACGTCTTTTAAATACAATATTTCCGTCAGTAAATTCACTCGATGTCTTCAGAAGGTACTAAGTAAAGCCTGCAAGCAGCAAGTTCAAAAAACATGATCCCACTTCATTGCTTTCAAAGATAATTATAGTCTGAAGTCTCATAAAATTTACATTACTGCCACAAAGATAGGGCATAAAATAAAGACCCACAAAAATATTAAAATTTGCTAAAAAGGGGCTTGTCTATATAAATAAAGTGCAGTGTATGTGTCTGTCTGTCCGTCCATTTTTCAATCTCTGTGAATCATAAACAACCTAAACTAACAGGTAGTAACTACTGTAGTTACACGCAATTAAAAATGAAATAAATAACTCATTTAAAGTTAAATTTAAATATTGAACAATGAAAGGTTTAAAAAAAAAACAATTCTTTATTAAAATTTAATTTTAATTTTTCTTTTTGATGCCATTGCAGTTGATAGCATCTAATTATACCATAATTAAAACTTAAGCCGTGCACAGTACATTGCTCGTATGTTTTTTGTTTTTTTTTCTTTTTCTAGCACACATATTCGAAGAGTTACATAGTTCGGGTACCTTAATATCTTTTAAGAATGACTTTATGTGAAAGGATCATAAAAAATGTTGATTTTTTTTAAAAGAAAATAAAAATTGCGCGTAAAATAAATGTAAACAAACTATGGAGATCAGTTGCGTATACAAAGAAAGATTATGCCGAATTAAGGTGTCAAATAAAGATAAAATAATTTTATTATTTCTAAATTCTTAAAACTTTTACATACATAAGATGTTGAAGATAAAAGGCCGAAGGGTGGCTTCTAAGCTAGTTTATAATAATAATAAAGGTTGGTAATCCTTTATCCGAAATTCTTGGGACTGGAAGTGCTCCAGTTTTCAGATTTTTTGAATTTTGGAATATCAAATGGTGCAGCTTGGGAATGGAACCCAAGGATAAACATGATTGCATTTCATAACACAGTTTATACATATACCCTGAAGGTAGTTTTTATATAAATGACATATACCCTGAAGGTAGTTTTATACAAAATTGAATAAATTTTGTGCCTATACAGATAATGATGGTAGTCATGTAATGCTCACATGTATTTTTAAGTGATGAAATTATTATTTCACATAAAAATAATGTTTCATACTTTCTGCACATGTATAAAAATCACGATCACTACTTAAAAGAAATATATAATTACAACACCACTACTACATAAGGTGTGAGAAGGAAAATTTGGTAAGCTACATTGTTGGCAGAGACCAACAATGTTGTGTTTTGATTAAAATGTTACAATACATAGAGGTACAGTATTTGTATAAAAACAAAACATGGATTCTGATTACAGTTAAATGTAATGAAAACTGAAAAAAAGTCATTTTATTTGTAACACTGCAATGCAAGAACCATGCTATGGGTAGCCATGTTGCTTTCTGAAATTTTTCATTTGTGGCAAGTCATGTCAGCACCTGAAAAACTTTTGGATAAAGAATACTCAACCTATATTCAAAAAAATGTATGCAATGAAACAGGATGCCATTTCTTTCTTCTCTTTTATTGATGCCTTATTATTGTCCCAGCTTTGTAAATGTCTAAGCAAATTATGTCAAATAAAACAAGTCAAATTTTATGATAATCCAGAAAGAGATTTTCATTAAAATAATGTCATTTGAAATTGCTATCTTGAAATAATATTGTAGATATTTCAGAAAATGTTTGGTCAATTAAAATACAAAATTGGTTTTTATGATGCGGGGTCACCCACATCATACCAGCAGGAAATAAAACATACACAGAAATAACAGTAAAAGCCTGTTAAATTGTAAATTAACATCATACAATTTATTAAAGCATTCTATACCAAATACCTAGAAAAAGAAATCATTTGAAATTACAGGTTCAGAATCCTTTATCCAAAATTCTTGGGACTGGAAATGCTTCAGTTTCCAGATATTTTAGATTTTTTAATACAGATTATTTAATTTGTCTATAGCATTTATAAAATGGGACAGCTTGGGAATGGAACCCAAGCATAAACATGACATCACTTTACATTTTATAACACAGCTTATACATAAACCCTGAATATAGTTTTATATAAATGACATATACCCTGAAGGTAGTTTTATATTAAATTTAATAAATTTTGTGTACATACAGATACTGGTAATGGTGCTAGTCATGTAATGCTTGTATGGATTTTCGAATGGTGAAATTAAGATTTCAGGTAAAAATAATGTTTTATGCTTTCTGTATGTGTACAAAAAAAAAAAACATGATAATTACTTACAAAAAATAAATGCAAACACCAAATTTTACTTCTATATCAGGTGTGAGAAACTGAAGGAAGAGGGTACATCATCAATGGCATCACTGTGAGAAAGACAATTTGGTAAGCTACTAATGATGTTACGTTTTGATTAAAATATTACAATACATAGAGGTACAGTATTTGTATATAAACAAAACATGGATTCTGATTACAGTTAAATGTAATGAAAACTGAAAAGTCAACAACATTTTATTTGTAACACTGCAACACAATAATCATGCTACCAGTAGCCATGTTGCTTTCTGAAATTTTCCATTTGTTGGTCATCAATGTCAATATCTGAAAAAATTTCAGATTTTTTAATTTGGGGTAAAGGATATTCTATCTGTATTTATATTGGCTACATTAGTGTATCTCTGCTAATCCAGTGGCTGCAAGGATATTGAACTTAGAATCATGATTGATTCATTCATTTTTTTATGGTTTATCAACCCTTTGCAAGTTATTTAAAGCTAGTAAATATTTTTAGATTATAAACAATTTATTTTGAAGATAATAATGGATTATTGATAAAAGTCTTACTAATTAATCTATAGATGGGGGAGAAGAGGTGGATTCATACCTTTCCCAAGGATATTTGCATGTTAGTGAACATAACAATCCCAAGAGGAGAGACAAGGTACATCATCAATCACATCACTGGGAGTGTGAGAAGGAAAATTTGGTAAGCTATCAGTCTCTACCAACAATGTTGTGTTTTGATTAAAATGTTACAATACATACAGATACAGTATTTGTATAAAAACAAAACATGGATTCTGATTACAGTTAAATGTAATGAAAACTGAAAAAAGTCAGATTTTAAAACACTGCAAAGAAAAATAAAATAAGTGTAAATTTTATTTATATAACAAGAAAGATTATGCTGAATTAAGGTGTCGAATAAAGATAAAATAATTTTAATATTTCTAAACATGGATTCTGATTACAGTTAAATGTAATGAAAACTGAAAAGAAGTCAACATTTTATTTGTAACACAATCATGCTATTAGGTAGCCATGTTGCTTTCTGAATTTTTTGATTTATGGCAAGTCACGTCAGCACTTGAAAAACTTTCGGATCTGGGAGGTTTTCGGATTTTGGAATTTCAGATAAAGAATACTCAGCCTGTAGTAATAATAATAATAATTAGAAGTCACCATGAAAATTTCAAAGTTTTCCAATTTAAATTTTCTGAAGAATCCTGGTCAGTACCGAGATGGGTGAGAATACCAGGTTTTGTAAGCTTGAATGTTCCAATACTGGTTGGGTTCATTATATTCACTGATACACAAATACCCTTTAGAAAAGTATGAATCCACCTTTTCTCACCCCAGCTATGGGTTAATTAGTAAGAGTTAGCATAATGTCTTTCATCATTTATATATGATCAACAATGTTAAGCAATGTCAAGCCTGGTCAGTACCTACATGGGTGACCATTTAGGAATACTATCACTGTAAGCTTGGATGTGTGGGTGGTGTAATGGATAATGGCTTGGAATTGTTAACAGAAAGCCGATTTCCAATTGCAGTTGGGTTGTTTATTTTTATTTACGTGCAAATACTTTTGGGAAAGGTGTAGATCTCCCTCTATCTATGGGATAATTAGTAAGATTTGTATCAATAAATCTTTATTATCTCCCCCACCCAAAATTCTTACAATCTAAAAACATTTTCTGGCTTTAAATATCTTACAAAGATTTGATAAGCCATAGAAAACGAAACAGTCCATCGATCAAATGCTGATTGGCCACGAAGTGAGGGATCACTTTATATATTGATTGTAATATGGAATTGATCACTCACTTTATATCCACATTATAATTTCTTGTTGGGTTATCAAATTATGATTAGATACGAATCCACCTCTTCTCCCTCCAGCTATGGGTGACTTGTATCACTAAATCTTTTATTATCCACAAAAAGTAATTCTTACAATCTAAAAGTATTTTCTGACTTTGAATAAATATATTTCTTGAACATTCCACAACCATAAATGAATAGCAATGAAATTCCTGTATCCCGTCGTTAAATTTTTGAGCTTAACAACTTTAACAAAATACTGCAATAGCAATTATAAGTACGAACGCAGGTAAAAAGATTAAAAGATTAAAGAATTGGCAATGCTTTCCATTTCACTGAAGCAGACGTCAAACACATGAGAGCATTATCACCTCCTCTATCTTCCCATTCCTTCTTTCATCTTATTACAAATGTTTTCTTTTTCCTCACTAAAGCCAAAGCATGTCTCAGATAAATCTTTTCCTTCTGTCTTTTCCTAGCAATCAAAATCATTATTTTTTTCTGAGGTAATGACGGGATGTAACACATGTGCTAACTTACTAATGGAGGACCAAGCAGAATTCTGATATTTGTGTTGCAATACTGAGGTCAGCAAGGATACTGAGTAAGGTGCTGGAGCTTTCAGAAAAATTAAGTGTCACTTAATCCTCAGCAATGAACAACAGATATTAAGTGTGAACATGCAAAAAGTAATAATAATAATAATAGTAACATGGTTAAACAGTCAATAACCTTTTGGCAACTGTGACTAAAAAGCATCAAAACTTTATGTGAATACTCTACAGAGCCATATTGAAACCCAGAGACCTGATTTTGCACCCTGGGTATGGCAATAAACTACATCCAGCAACAAGGCCTCTTATCGAGAGATTGGAGGTTCTGATGATCCTGGAACCACCTCATTAATTGCTGTTGTTTCCAGGTTCGACCTGACCTGGAAGAGTCCCAGCTATGAGCAAATAATGAACCCTCCCCAACCTTAAAAAAAAAATCAACGGTACAATTTTATAATAAAAGTACCAGTAATACATTTTTGCCTTGAAATTACTGGCAATACGAGTAGATTCCTAAGTGCCAGTCCATCTCTGAAAATGGTTTCATGTTTCTAGAATTCTGAAATTATGTTATTAAAGATTTTTCTGGTGATGAGGGTACGAAATTTTATTGCTGCTATAAAACAGATTGACAGTGAGAAGAGTAGATTCCTATCTATTTTAGAGCAGTAATAAAATTCCATACCCTCACCTTCAGAAAAATTTTTAATAACATAATTCTATAAACATGAAACCATTTTCAGAGATGGTCTGGTACTTAGACAGTGAGAAGAGTAGATTCCTAAGTGCCAGTCCATCTCTGAAAATGGTTTCATGTTTCTAGAATTCTGAAATTATGTTATTAAAGATTTTTCTGGTGATGAGGGTACAAAATTTTATTGCTGCTATAAAACAGATAGACAGTGAGAAGAGTAGATTCCTATCTATTTTAGAGCAGTAATAAAATTTCGTACCCTCATCTCCAGAAAAATCTTTAATAACATAATTTCACGCATTCATTGCAGATTGCAATGATGCATTTCAGAGGTCCTAGCATAGATATCTGTTAAATCTGCAAATCTTTTTAACCTGCTATTAAACATCCATAAAACAGAAAACTACGCATTAAACTATGGTATCCCATGGAAGTTTTAAATCACCAAATGGTTACGACCATTTCGTGTTGAAACACCACTTCCTATACAATCAACAAAGTTAATCAATGTCAACCTTGGTCAGTACATGGATGGGTGACAACTTAGAAATACAAGGTGCTGTGAGCTTGGATGTGCAGATGGTGTAATGGATAATGGCTTAAAATCATTAATCAGAAAGTAGAGTTCCAATTCCAGTTGGGTTCGTTACAGTCACTTACATGCAAATACCCTTGGGAACTTATTAATCCACCTTTTCTCCCTCTAGCTATGGATTTTTGTGGCATCATCCTGCAGTAATTTATATCTTTACTGCTGCTTTTGACGATAGACAAGTTTTCTCTTCCAGCAGTGATAATTCTGTCTTCTTCTGTTTATGTCTGACTCTCCAAATGGACAACTATTCTCTCTCACTCTAACTCTCCTCATCTAGAAGGTGGCCTGATATTAACTCTTGACTGGAATCCCCTAACTTCCAGCCTAATGTCACTTGATCCTGAAAGTTTATCTATCTTCTTTTTTTTCCCTACTGATGGATAGGTGGCTGCTTTGAAACTTTCACATGTTGATTTTACTGGTGACACAGTTGGTAGTCATAAAACCACTAAGTGCTCCAGGCCTAGATAGAATCATTTATAGTACACTTGGCTAAATGGGTGTCCATAGAAATCGAGCGAGGTAAGTTAAACTGACACCAGAGCAGGCAGCTGTAAAAGTAGAGATTAAAGTTACATTGCATGATGCTAGGTAGACACTCATCTATCACTTGCCATAAACATGTCATATAAAAACATATCCCTTGATTTCTACTTAAGTATTTGTCATCAAGGTAAAAAGATTTACTGGAATTTGCTAGTTGTAATTATTTATATTTCAAACAACCAGACAGAAATATTCATTATAATAATTTTAAATTACAACAAGAGGACGCCGATCTCAGCCTGACCCACTTGGATAATGGGTCAGGCCGAGAGCTGAAAATATAATGAAATATCAAATTTTTTTTTTTTTTTGATGTCTTCTTACTCATGCTCAGAAATTTCATCAATTGTTCTAATAAATCTATCAAGAAAAGGCAATGTCGGCATCTTTGTGAATCAATGACTCATGTAGCAAATGCTAGAAACATGAAACCTTTTTCAGGTGTGGACTGGCATTTAGGAATCTACAGTCATGATGCATTGAAAATCAGGAAGAAAGGGATTGGCAGGGATCAGGAGTGCATGCAAGCAATATGCATAGAATAGGACTATCATATTATAATCTTTTCTATTATAATAATAATATCTTTGAATTTTAATATTAAGTAAGAATTGACAAGGTTTCATATAATAATTAAAAAAATTCAATATTACTACTAATACTATTAGTAGAAATAAAGCAATTGAAATGAAGATGAAAGAAATATTAGTGAAAAATGAATAAGAATTGACAAGACTTCATCTAATAATAATAATAAAATTCCAGATAATATTACTACTACTACTACTAGTGGAAATAAAGCAATTAAAATGAATATGAAAGAAATACTAGTGAAAAATGAATAAGAATTGACAAGACTTCATCTAATAATAATAATAAAATTCCAGATAATATTACTACTAATACTACTAGTGGAAATAAAGCAATTGAAATAAAGACGAAAGTAATACTAGTGAAAAATGAATAAGAATTGACAAGGCTTCATCTAATAATAATAATAAAATTCCAGATAATATTACTACTAATACTACTAGTGGAAATAAAGCAATTGAAATGAAGATGAAAGAAATACTAGTGAAAAATGAATAAGAATTGACAAGGCTTCATCTTAATAATAATAAAATTCCAATAATATTACTACTAATACTACTAGTGGAAATAAAGCAATTGAAATGAAGATGAAAGAAATACTAGTGAAAAATGAATAAGAATACAAGGCTTCATCTAATAAAATAATAAAATTCCAGATAATATTACTAAATACTACTAGAAATGAAGAATTGAAATAAAGACGAAAAAGTAATACTAGTGAAAAATGAATAAAATTGACAAGGCTTCATCTAATAATAATAATAAAATCAGATAATATTACTACTAATACTACTAGTGGAAATAAAGCAATTGAAATGAAGATGAAAGAAATACTAGTGAAAAATGAATAAAAATTGACAAGGCTTCATCTAATAATAATAAAAAATTCCAGATAATATTACTACTAATACTACTAGTGGAAATAAAGCAATTGAAATGAAGATGAAAGAAATACTAGTGAAAAATGAATAAAAATTGACAAGGCTTCATTTAATAATAATAATAAAATTACAGATAATATTACTACTAATACTACTAGTGGAAATAAAGCAAAAATGAAGATGAAAAAATTGAAAAATGAATAAGAATTGAAAGGCTTCATTTAATAATAATAATAAAATTCCAGATAATATTACTACTAATACTACTAGTGGTTGAAATGAAGATGAAAGAAATACTAGTGAAAATGAATAAGAATTGACAAGGCTTCATTTAATAATAATAATAAAATTCAAGATAATATTACTACTAATACTACTAGTGGAAATAAAGCAATTGAAATGAAGATGAAAGAAATACTAATGAAAAATACTTGGGTGATCATGAATCGAAAAGAGTCACGATTGCCCAAATAGACTATATCTGCCCCAACTCACATGCATTGGACTAGTACGACTGAGTAATGGCCCATTCCCCCACCTGAATCTGGGGAATCCAACAAAAGTAACCTCACAAGCTGAGAAGAAGAAGAAGGCTCTGAAAACATTTTTGGCAAATTGACTCCTGACTTGGACATACAGGCAAAGAAAATATGTACCTTTCAATTCTCCCCATTACAAAATTGACATTCATCAATGCTTCCTGAATGTTTACGGAAACCAAACAGTGAATGTGAGTACAGTAATGAATTCCAGTTGTGACAAGCCATGTTCTGAGCAGCCTAGCACATCTATCAACTCCTGACAAAAAACAGTATTTTGTAACTAAAAACTTGCTCAACTCAATAGTGTTATCAAGCTCCCTGTATCTGTTGTTTCCATGGAAATAAAATGGTATGCATTGCCTTCCGAGCATTCCCTCATATTATTAGACCTCCATAAATTAACTTACTGTATCATATGCCCTCATCGTCATCATGCAGTCTCTTGTTCATCATTGGCAATGATGCATCACCAATGGTAGTGACAATATGGCAATTAATCATGCTTTTGTTTGCTCTCTGTTGCTTTTACTAAAATTCACCCAGTATAGGCCTCGAGAGCCACCAAAGGTAGAGGGTTACTGACTGAGGTATGTAAAAGTATTGAAATTCAAATGAAGATTATGAGGATAAGGAGGATAGATAAGGCGTGGTCCCTGAGTTGGAAAGATTAGGATTGTAGTGTTTAAAGAAGCATCTGCTCAGATGTCTTTTCCATAAAGTAACAATTCATGGGAAGAAATTGTGCAGAACGTCCACCTTTGAATTTGAATACAGTGGAAACATGGATGATTTTGGCTCCATGTCATCTTCTATCACTAAAGGTCTGAACTGGCAAAACAAAACTTTTGTAGCTGAAAATTTACTTTGTCTGTCTATCTATCTATCTATCTATCTATCTATCTATCTATCTATCTATCTATTATCCTCCTTTGTCTATTTATCTAGTATTCTCATCTATCTCTCTATCTATCTATCTGTCTATCTATCTCATTCTGTTTGTATCTATCTATCTATCTATCTATCTATCTATCTATCTATCTATCTATCTATCTAGTATTTATCTTTGTTTATTTATCTAGTATTCTCTATCTATTATTCTCCTTTGTCTATTTATCTAGTATTCTCATCTATCTATCTATCTAGCATGGGAATGATTTAACACCATGGATGTAGTATAATGTGTCCTTGCTTTAAAGGTCTGAACTGGTGGAAGTAAACTTTTATAGCTGAAAACATTATCAATAACAAATAGAATTACGTTTTAATTTTGCACAGTTATTTTCAGATCTGTCATTCAAATGGGTATACAGACACAATTGAAATAAAATTGAAATGGACATCTGTGCTGCAAGGACTAATTTCCCTTTCAGTTTGCCAACAACCTCTGGATAACAGGAAAAGAGTATAAGCCAAAATATGTGTCCCTTTGAAGTCATTTTTATGTCTCCTGTAAAAGAATAATTTTACTTAACATCAGAAAGAGAAAGTTGAAATTTCTAGGACAAATAATGAGGAAGAGTGTTTAGAAAATTTGACACTCACAAGACATATTGAAGGCAAGAAGAAAAGAGTACATAACCTACGTAATGTGCTTGTGTAAATGGCTGGCAGAACAGGTTTTAGAAGAGATAGCAAACATGCAAAATTCAATAAGGCTACAAAGGGCTGGAAATTGTGGAGAGCCATGATCCCCAACGCCCTGAAGAGACACGGTACATAGAACAAGACAAAAAAGAAGCTTGCGTAAATGGTTGGCAAAACAGGGTTTTAATAGAGATAGCAAAAACGCAAAATTCAATAAAAAAATGGAAACTATGGAGGGCCATGATTGTCAACGTCCTGAAGAGACTGGGCACACAAAGAGCAAGCTTGTGTAAGTGGTTGACAGAACAGGGTTTAGGAGAGATAGCAAACATGCAAAATTCAATAAGGCTACAAAGGGCTGGAAATTGTGGAGAGCCATGATCGTCAATGTCCTGAAGAGACACGGCACATAGAACATGACAAAAAAAAAAACAAGCTTGAGTAAATGGTTGGCAGAACAGGGTTTAGGAGAGATAGCAAAAAGATAGCATTCAATATGGGCTTCAAAGGGCAGGAAATTGTGGAGAGCCATGATCACCAACGTCCTGAAGAGACATAGCACATAGAACAAGACAAAGAGCAAGCTTGTGTAAGTGGATTACAGAACGGGATTAAGAAGAGATAGCAAAAACGCAAAATTCAATAAAGGCTACAAAAAATGGAAATTGTGGAGAGCCATGATCGTCAACGTCCTGAAGAGACAGGGCACATAGAACAAGACAAAAAAAAACTTGTGTAAATGGTTGGCAGAAGAGGGTTTAGAAGAGATAGCAAAAATGCAAAATTCAATAAGGCTACAAATGGCTGGAAATTGTGGAGAGCCATGTTCACCAAGGTCCTAAAGGAGCACAACACATAGAACAAGATGAAGAACAAGTTTGTGCAAATTATTGGCAGAACAGCGTTTATGAGAGATAGCGAAAACGCAAAATTCAATAAGGGCTACAAAAAACTGGATATTGTGGAAAGCCATGATTACTAATGTCCTGAAGGCGCATAAATGAAGAATTTTAAACTGAATCTTTTCTCTGGTAAGTACAGCATTCTAAATGGACAAACAATTTGGATTTGAGATTTGATGACCTTGTCGTCAGCAAAGTGAGAAGTACTGAAAGGTGTGACAATAGGTTATTGACGACTGACTGGTTGACATGAAGAGTAACGATGACCTCAACTGTCAGACCACACGAAAGTGTTGATTGTCATAATTACTTTCTTTGATATTTTTTTATGTCACTAGAAAATTAATTATAGTATATACCTGTGTAAGCCGGGATCTCGCGTACTGTGCGACCCCCAAATTTTCTCTTATAAAAAAATAATTTCATCATGTATCTCGTGTATCATGCGAGTTCCTTTTTTGAGAGACCAAATTACAATAGACTAACCTCTTTTCCTTTATCTCTTTATCCCATCTTCTTGTTAAATAAATTAAAAAAGTAAAAGAGAAAGATAAAAGTATCGTTAGTACCGCTCTACTCGTTGCGTAAACGTGTGGGATCTTCCACAACAAACCAGCCTTACATCTTTTTAGAAAATGCACTCTTCCTATCTGGTAAGTAAAACCCTACTTTCACATAAATATAACAAGTATTCATTGGTCAATCACCTCTAATCTTGCTTGCTGATTGCTCAGTTTCGACCAATCAAACTACCTGCACGCGACCAATCTATTTTCCCGCTCATATGCTGTGATCCTCTCACGTGGTACACGGACATTATATAAACCGAACACATGTGAACTTTTTGAGTAGTACTTCTCATTCCTTGCTACCAAGTGCCAAAATGTAACCAACATTACCAACATTCACGAACTCTGAAATCACTCCTGAACTTTTACCAACTTTAGAACTCACAATTCCAAACTTTATTCTTCTAAATTACAAGTTCAATATTACTTCTTCTTAATATAAACTCCGGTACAAATATTACCAAATCAAAGGACACGACTCTGTCCTACCTTTTCAGTTCGCATGCATGTACATCAAACATTAATAAATCTAATTGTTATGTTTTGAAATCATTCAGTTCAGTTTTGTATTTTATTCTATGTGCTATTTTACGTCAAGTATAAATTGCATTGTGTTCACGCATTGTCCTGAATCACATTTTTCTTAGCCATCACACATATTGGTAACACCGACGTTCAAGGAATATACTAGCCATTACATATTTGGTGATTCGTCGGAATTAAACAGCAAATGGTAAGATAAACCACTACAAACGCGTACAGCCATAAATAACCGAACGAAAAACAGCTAAACATCTTAAAGGTAAACAATGGAAAAGATACATATTCGCTATGTTTGTATTTTACGAAACTAATATGCGAATATTAGTTAAGTAAAATATCAGTTTTATCAAAATAATGTTTATTTTAAATACAATTGTAAGTAAATGGCTATATAGTTTGGTCAAGGGGAGGCACGGTGGAGTAATGGATAGCTTTAGATTTAGGAATCGGAGAGCCGTGTTCAATTCCAGTCGAATCCATTACATTTCACTTACGTGTTAATACCCTTGAGAAAGGTATGAATCCTCTTCTTCACCCTCAAGCTATGGGTAAATAGCAAGACAGACCAGGTTCTATAGCCTTAGATGGTCTACCGCAGAAACTACTGCGGGAAAAAATCTGCCTCGTCAGTTGTGTATCGAAAGATACATGATCGCCTAAGCGTGTATCAAGCATGGTACATAACTGACTGTGTTCGATCCTCACTGGCGCTCTATGCATGCAGCCTTGTGCCAAACTTAATTAAGGTCTGTAAATAACAATTTTAATAAGGTAAACATTATTAATTAGTGAATTCAATTCTGATTGGCTGTCCCATACTTATGGCCTTGTAACAAATTAAAATAAGTCTAGTAAATAACAGCAGGAGGTACGATGGAGTAATGGATAGCGGTTTGAATTGAGGAATCGGAGAGCCGTGTTCAATTCCAGTCGAATCCATTACATTCACTTACGTGCTAATACCCTTGGAAAAAGTATGAATCCTCCACTTCTCCCAGGATAGACTGGGTTATATAGCCTTGGATCGCAACTTCTACCGCAGAAAGAAATGGCAACCTACTGCGGGAACAAATCTGCCTTGTCAGTCATGTATCGAAAGATACATGATCGCCTAAGCGTGTATCACGCATGGCAAATAACTGACTGACTGATTCATATGAAAGGTCTGAACTGCTGAAATTAAATAATGGATTGAGGAATCGGAGAGCCGAGTTCGAATTCCAGTAGAATCCATTACATTCACTTACGTGCTAATACCCTTGGGAAAGGTATGAAACATCCTCTTCTCCCCCCCCCCAACCAGCTATGATTAAATAGCAGGACAGACCGGGTTCTATAGCCTTGGATGGCAGAAAGAAATGGCAACCTAGTGCGGGAAAAAATCTGCCTCGTCAGTCCTGCATCGAAAGAATTCGATCTCCGATTCGAACACATTACTCAGTAATAACTCGTTAACCATTAACCCACCATGAACTGCTTTATTATTATTATTCATTCAGCACGTCATTTGTTTTAGTTTCAGTCTTTCCAAGATTATCAGTACTAGTTCGGTTTTTGCACAACTCTTTGGGACTCTTCCAAGCTCTCCAACAATCATGAGTAAAACTCTTTATATTTGATAATCTTTCTTTTCTGGAAAATTCAAGATATTGTTCTTGCTTTTCTGGCAAAGTTGGTATATTTTGTCAAGCTTTTCTGGTAAAGTGTTGATATTTTTCGCACTTTTTCTAGCAAGGTGTAGACATTTTTTTCTGAAAATGTCTGGCAAGGTATAGATATTTTTCTAGCTTTTCTGACAAGGTGTATATATTGTTTAAAAGTTTTCTGGTAAAGTGAAGAGCGAGTAAGAAACAATGAAGTCTTAAAATGGAAGTATAAAGAACACTTCTACTCAAAATCAGGAAAAGAAAGCTGAAATTCCTTGGATATATGATGATGAAAGAAAAAAGAAGACAAAAGAGGAAAAACGAAAAGAAAAGAAAGAAAGAAAGAAAGAAAGAAAGAAAGAAAGAAAGAAAGAAGAGAAAAAAGAAGAGAAAGAAAGAAATAGAACAGAAAGGAGGAAAAAAGAAGAGAAAGACGAGAAAGAAGGAAAGAAAAATGAAAGAAAGAAAGGGGGAAAATAAGAGACAAGAAAGAAAGAAAGAAAGAAAGAAAGAAAGAAAGAAAGAAAGAAAGAAAGAAAAAGAAAGAAAGAAGAAGAAAAGAAAGGAATATAAAGAAGAGAAAATCGTGAAAGAAAGAAAGAATGAAGAGAAGAGAAGAAAAGAAGAAAGAAGAGAAAAGAGAAAAAGAAAAGAATTACATAGATGAAGTGATGAAGCACCAAGGAAGTTTCAAAGAAAATGGCAACAGAAAGAACACTTCTACCCAGAATCACGAAAAGCCAGCTGAAATTCCTTGGATATATAATGAGTAAGACTTGGAAAACTTAACCCCCACAAGGCATATTTAAA